CTCATAAAATATGTATGTGGGGTAATCAGGTTGTTAGTTTTTAACTGTTGCAAATGAGAGGGTTAAGAGATTTAAGACTTTTTTGACCCCATATACTGTCATGGCCTAAGATTTTGGCAGTGGCACAAATTGTATGGCCTTCTGCTTGTTTACCCACTACAAAAAAACCCTCAAAAAAGCAACTAAAACAAATATTAGATATAATAATAATCTTGTTACTGAGTGTAGATTTATGGGGACAAAAATAGTGAGTTTTATTTATCTGTCAACAAGTACAGAGTATTTCTTTTAAAGCAAGTATTTCCTGTTTTCATATAGAAGAATCTGTCCACATGACAGTGGAAAAGCAAATGAGATTATCAAGGATTAACAGATGGGATTATGACCCTAACCCTCACCGTATACAAAGTCTATAAAGGTCAAAACACAGAAAAAGTTACGTTTCCAAAATTAGAAGTGTATGTATCAGCAGGACCTAAAATGAACTCCAAGAATAAATAAAACAAATATGAATAAAGTGTTGAACTGGAATCACTGCATCCACAGTTTGTCCAGACTTGAAATAATTAGGATACATTGCTGAAAATTAAAAACCGGTATGGGATGAAATGTCTTTCATTCATGAAAAGAATCCATATCTATGCAAAGTTTATAGAGTAATTTCAAATATATTAAGTCTGGAACTTAAACACTGCATTTACAGAACTTTATCTCTCTCTGTCTATATCTATATATCTATATATAACATTAAATATATATTCTCAGTCTGATGTTTCCTTTGCATGTACACAGAGGATGCAGTCATGCATAATGCAAAAGGTTAAAAGCTATTTCATCATTACAGAATTGAATCCATCTTTCACTTAGTGTCATTTGGTCATGCGAGCCATCTTCAATATTTAATCTAAAGTAAGTTCAAGATGCAGCAGCACAACATGCTTTCACCCAAATAAATCAGGAAAGAAATTGTGTAGGACGTCATTAGTGATAGTCCAGATCTGTGAATAGTTTTTCATCTTTACTGAGATATAAACTGTCTTTTTACTTGTCAAAATAAAAGGACCGTTTACTTTTATGACTGCCTCTTTTTCTGCGTTCCTACCATTGCTTTCAGCGATCAGTTGAAGTGTGTTACTTCTCTTTACAAATCTGCACACAGCAAAGAAGGCCACCCTCGGTCCATTTACAGAGATAGACAGCAGGCTTTTGGTCAAAAGACCATAATTGATGTTGCTTTTCTTCATAGTTTACACTGCAGTCTGTTTAGGGTTTCAGCACTAAAAGTCACTTGGTGAAAGGGATACTGTAGGGGGCAAAATTAAGGGATAAAAATAACCAGAGGCAGAGGCAAAGCTATGTAGACCACAAGGAAATCCCCTTATTGCCTCCAGCAAATCTGACCCTGGACATAATGGAGACTTTAAAGGAATATAATAGCTGGCCACGAAAACATAATGTTACCAATTCAGTTCCAAACAAAGTGTAAAATGTACTTGCTATCACAGCCCTCCAACCCCCCAGTTGTATTTTGTTGAACAAATTCATGAAATCATAACAAAGTTGGATCTTTAACCCTTAAGGACCCACAGTGACACTGGTGTCACTGCCTCTTTACACTTAGAGACTTGGTTATATATGATTCATTTGATATAAGACCCCCGTAATTTTCATGAAAGTAGAAATAGGTCTGGGCTCTTAAGGGTTAAATGAGTGGTTATTTTATCCTCTTAGACTGAGTCCAAATGTACTTTTGTGTCAGAAGTTAAACATTTTCTCATTCCTGGAGAGGGAATGCGTATTCATGAGAACGTGAGGGGCAGCAACCCCGAGAGACAAAGTCCTCGGGCCACGTTCATGAGACGAAGCATCAAACGTTAATGGCCTTCAAGGAACTTGAGCTTTCTCAAGGAACTTCTGTGATAACTTCAAAGTCCCTTAACAAACAGAATTCAGGGCTTTTTAAGATTTTCAGGTACATTCTGACTCCCTGATTTGCTTGTTCACGTCACTTATTAAATGGAAACTACTTAATGTTTAAATACCTTTGTCCTCTTATAACAAATACTTTTATATACCAAGGAAATGAGAGTTTAGACTCTGTTTTATGGTGCAGGAAAGAATCCAGTTAGGAACATCCATCCAAAGCTTACCCAAAGTTGGTTCTGGCAAAGCAGGGCATCCTTTTCTCCAGCATTGTTTTCCAGTTCCTCCTGTTGGAATCCAGATGCCACAAGTCAAATGATATCAGTCAATCAACTAAGCTTTTGTATATACTACTAAGTGTTTCTGCAACTTTAATTTCTTCTGAGGTGCTCCCTCAGAGATAAGATATATATTCTTGGCAGGGACTCCTGCATCTACCAAAGGGTTTCCTCTGAGTTGGGAAAACCTCCAAGGGGAAGTGCTCAGGAGGCATCCTGATTAGATGCCTGAACCACCTCATCTGGCTTCTTTCGACAGCAAGGAGCAGCAACCGCACTCCGATTTCCCCCTGGATGTCTGAGCTCCTCAGCCTATCTGTTTGACCCAAGCCACCCTATGGAGGAAACTAATTCTGGGTACTTGTATCTGCGATCTTTGTCGGTCACTTCCCAGAGCTCCTGGGCACAACTAAATGAAATTAAAAGCTTTCTTTCTGGCTCAGCTCTCTCTTCACTACTGCTGGGGAATATGTTTGATCAACGAGGGCTCTCGTAAAGATAAATCTCTTTTTGCTCTTCAACAAACAACAATAATCAATAACCAAGCTGTAATTTCTTCTCCTTGATTCTGTTTGTTTCTCAAAGCTGACCTTTTCAAATCTCATGAAATCATTGGACAGAGCTGTCAGCTCTCTTTCCGTCCCTCCATCTCTCTCATTCTCTCTCTCGGCCTCGGGCGGATTTTAATCAAGAATGGTTCCTGATAATGAAAACCTGCGATAACGACTCTTTTCTTGCTGCTGCTGATAAGCACAGCAAAGCCTGGATCATTGTTCTCCATTAATTAGCCTGTACCCTTGCCAGTATTTGATGGGTTGACGCCGACACAGCGGGAGAGCGACCCTGGAGTCATCTCACAAACGAGCAGAAAATTGTCTGATGTGTGAGGAACTGGCACCGACACAAATGCGACTGTACCTTCACAGAAACTGAACGCCGTTTCTGTCACGACTTTATGGATTTTGACGTTGTTTTTGATGTTTCCACACTTTATACACTCCGTCCCCCCGAGCAGAACCAGAAGAAACACCAAACTTCAGTCCAACTTTTCCATTACACTTTAGTGAAATCACACAAATATACAAACTCAGCAGAAGGCAATGGCAATGATATAAAAACTGACACAGGCTATTACATGAAGATTCATCATCATCGTCATCGTTACATTTTAATTCAGCAAAAATGACAAATAAAAACAAGGCAATGGCGAATGGTCTCAAAAAATGGGCCCTGACTACATCCTGGAAAGCGCTGCATCAAGGCGACATGTATTTCTGCGTTTTTAGTTTTCAAACAGAACAAAAACAGTTTTTCCAGGCAGAGAGATGAACGGCAGCGCTGCAGAGCTGCTGGCGGCAGATCAGGAGGCTTCGATGGTGGGTTTCGTGGTTTCACACATTCTTTGCGTTGCATATGAAAAGAAGGTCGGCTGGTTATGAGAAAATGTAAAGACCTGCTGAAGAGATATATTATAGTATTTTGTGTGTTTTGTTACATTTGGTTTCATATCTTCTATTTTTCTGTTTTTATTCATTTATTCTGAAAATTGCATTGCAGGATTTTATCCCTGCATTTGAAATAATTCATCTTCTCACTTCAGTCAAGCTACAACTGAGACTGTGTGTGGATACTTTCAATACTATTTTCTTTGCGTTTGATGGGAAAACATTTCTAAAGGAAACTGGTGCAGAATGATTGACCAGAAGGTTTGTTAAACAGGTGATAAATGCTGATAAGGCAACATGATAAATCCTTTTGTGTCTTCTTTTAATTTTCACAACAAAGACGACATCAAACTATCCTTCTTACTACATTTTTTACATTTCTCGCACTACAACTTGGATTTCGCTTTAAGCCACCTCCAAGCAGAAGCCCTCATTGGGTTTCACGAGCTCTACAGTTGCTGACTGGGCAGTTATTTTGGTAATTTAGAAATGGAGACATTTTTAATGCGCTTAACATCGTGACAGGATTAAACCCAAACCATGATCCTTTTCTAAACCTAACCACACAGTGGACCAAAACTGGAACTTCAAGCTATAAAAAACAGCAAACTAAGTGAGAAGATATTGCAATCTCACTGCAGTTTGTCCCCAGTTTCTTGGGTTAAAGTCTAGTGGATTGTGCCTCCACCTACACTGGCCGACTACACCTGTATTTTTAAAATGTAGGGTGTTTCATTGAACAAATAAGTTTCCCTCAGCACACGACTGACACGGCGTTTAGCTGTACAGTAAAGGTAACTTCTAGGTGCCTCAATTAGCAGTTAATCTGACTGTTGTAAACATGTAAGAAATTAGCAGAAAAGTTCAGGATTGCTTAAAAGTTGTGACAGTTTGTGAAAATCTAAAAACATAACACATAAATACTGAAAGAAGCCTATCATTGTTTTCGTGACAGGTTATTTCCAGCCAAAACTGAAAGAAATGAGTATAATGGTGGAGAACAAAAATTATTAATTTGTTTGTGGCAGATGGTTAAAAGGAATGTTTTTATTTTGTAAAAGTAAAATGTTTAAATCTTACATTTATGTGTAATTACTAATGAAATAATGTGATTTTTGGACTGTCGCGCATGGTCACCTGTGTTTTTAGGTTATATATTTATTATATATCTAAAAAAGAGATATACATGACATCTGCAGTCATGCTGAGAGCCATGCCCTGTACAATAAACATCTTGCATTTTTGATTATATCTTTTTATAATTATCATGAGACAGCTGCTATTGAACTTCAAAAATTGCAGCTCTACCAAATTTTAGTCATAATAATATGTGGCATCCGGCCGTGATTCATAGACTAGATTCACCGTCAGCTTCCTAATAAATAATGACAGGGATTTATCAAAGTTTGCTTGGCGAAGCCTCATGATCCAACGCTCGCAGCACCCCAAACGCCGCCTGAATGAACAATCAGATCCTGAACTAAGACACAAGATCCAGTGTGAGCGGCGCTTCTCGACTGGTGGTTCAGGGACCCCGACGAGGACTTTTGGACTGTGTGTTTAAAATCCAGGACTATATTCTGAAAGTGCTTATAGATAAAATTTATTTGAATGCTGTGGATCCTGATGGCACAGCAACCAAGAAGCCTCCGCTCAGAATATTAATAATAATTATAACTGTAGTAATAATAATCATATTATGGTACAATAAAGACATCTGACCCCCCCGTTTGAGCTCAGAGGGGAGTCCAGTGATTCGCTGTTGCTATGGTACAATGAAGCCCGCTGGGATCTGCTGTTGGCTCAACTCGTCTGTCAGTCACCCAACTGTCTGTCTGGAGTCTGCAGGGGTGGGAGGGGCCTAATGAGGTGGGGTCAGCCAGCTCCCATTGATTTCCAATGGGAGGTCAGTGCAAGTTTTCTGTAGGGAAATTCTATGACCTACTTCTGCTGCTGATTACTGAACCTCCCGCAGATTATTAATGGCAGTTATACCATTGAGTTTAATCTCCCATTAGTATGAAATGGATTTTTTTCCCCCACAAGAAATCAATGAAAGCTTTACAATGTGACTTGCATCTTAAGATACCATTAATGATAAATGGTTGGTTGAGAGATTTCCCAGAAAGTTAAGAATTATGGTCAGATTCATCTAAATCATAAACAATACATAACATGAAAGTGGATTTGTTCTCCATGGTGACCTGATTGTTTCCAAAGAATCTGATAAATATGTCGGACTCTTCATTGGGTATTGATAAACTCTTCATTAGGTTTGAAGGGGACATTTTTGTAGTTTCTAGCACTGATTTCAAATCCAATTCTTCAAAATAACACAATGGATGGAAATATAACAGAAAAATAGAAAAATCCATTTTTTTACCAATGGGGGATTAGTGTACAGTAAGAATACGATGAATGGAGCAACTAGTTTCAAATAAGAGATTCCTAAGAAAAAATACAAAATGATAAACATTAAATCAACTTGTTTATTTTCTGTCAGAAATAAGAATAACACCATTATTCTAAATGTATTTTTGCCAATTGATCTTAAGTGGGAGAGCTCCATTTCCCTGCTGATGTCTTTCCCCAACCCCTTCTTTGCTTTTAAAACTCCTTAAGAACATCGTCTGGTAAGGAGTCGAACGATTCAACAACTCTTCAGACGGTTCGCCGTGTGAGTGAAGTGAGTCTGATGGGCGATTCTGATCAATAAAATTGATCAGTCTCTCTGCCTCCTTCTTGGTTAATAACTCCAGGCTGAGAGGAAACAGACAGACGGATGGATTTGATGAATTGAACATCAGCACGATGGGAAATGACCGACTGAACCAGAACGATTTGTCACATTTCTCAAAGTTTTTCGACACATCCTGTTTCTGACTGCTCTTAAATTGGACATAAATGCAGGAAACAAGTAATGAGTTAAAAAATTAAAATGGCAAGAATGAATATGAAGTGTGACCAACAGTTCTGGCTGTTTCCCAGGCTGCACATGGACTGTTTTATGACCTGTTAAAGTGTGTGTGTGTGTGTATGCGTGTGTGTGTGCAATTAACGTCTGATGCTGTTGGGCTCTTCCTTCTGCTTTAACGCTGTACAAACTAATAAAACTGTCTACATCCTCCAACAATAAATATAACCCATTGTAAAAAATAAATTAAAACCAAAATAATAAATATCTCACCACTGGAGAATGTTAAAAACGCTGAGTTGGGTGTGTGTGTGTGTGTGTGTATGGATGGATGTAAAACAGGGTGTAAATCAATCTGTTTTTTGTTTTGTTGTCACAGGAATTTAACTTCGCTCTCCTTCAGTCTCTGTTGGCTCCTCCCAGGTGCACGTGTGTGTTCAGAGGATGGACATGATGTTAAAATGTACACACACACACACACACACTCTTGCTACCACAGTGGAAACCCACCCAAGCATCGTTTTATCTCAGCTGAATTTAAACTTGATTGTAAAGGTTTTCTTTTCCTATTCACTTTATTTGCTCTTATTCGTTGTATCAAAATCTGTTGGCGGCTGACATCAGATGGAACCTCTCAGGAGCTTGTGAGATGCGTTCAGTGCTGCACCAGGAAAGAGTGTCATTACATCTGACAAGACCGAGCTTCATGGACGAAATGCTTCCATTACCATTCGTTGGTTTGTCCAACTAAAAGCAGGATTCAGGTATCAAAGAAAAGTGGAATATTGGCCTTGGTGCAAATGGAACATCTGGAAATAAAATCATGAGCTCAGTCTCGTGGCAATTCATGAATGCATGATGTAAAATAAATCTGTTATTTTCGTTGCCACAATTTAAGGCTACCAGTAGGAATTTTTAATCATAGCAACTCAGCCTAATAGCTGCAATTAGCATGAGGATTGTTTTTTCTGGACAAATAACAAAGAAATACAAATTGGTGAACTACTCAACCACAAGAAAACTCCTTCTAGAAGCAAGTTGTGACAGCCATCTTGGAAACTCCAATAGGCAATTATGTTGAAGCCCCTAAATTAAACATGGAGACAGTCCCACCATTAATTCCTATGACAGCATAAAAACTACATGCAGGGAACCACGACTAAAATCTGTATGTAGATCCATCCTTTCTGCTACAGTAAGTAGTTATCATAGTTATCATAGTGTGGCTGTTGATTGGCACTTTTGGATCAATGAGCCAATCAACAGCTGATCTTTTCAGGACTCTTTGCAGGAGATTTCTTGTTATGTCTCTGCCACAAACCAGTCCTTGCCCAGACAAAAATGCAACATGTAATTAGCGTGCTACAAACTGCTAGCTCTTGACATGCTAGCTAGCGATCGCTAATTTGTTTATCCACATGTAAGTATGATCAGCAGAGGGGGGCTGAGCTGCTGAGATGATGGTCTGGTCAGTTCTGGTAATTTGAGGGCATCTCACTAAACAGCATAAAACTAAAAAGCTATAATTTTAAAGTCACATCTTGTGCTGTTTAGTGTTCATGCTAACATAAAAAAGCTACATTGGCACCAATGCTAATAACAGATTCATGTTACTAACTATTGCCATGACACTAGGAGTGCAGGTATAACAGAAACTGTCTTTAGTATTTGCACCTGCACACCTTTAGTCATTCCTGCCCCTAAAACTTTTTCCTTCCATCCTCTGATTTCTCTCTAGAATGAATTTTACGTTTGCACGAGTAACTGAAATGAGCATGGAGCATTTTTGCCTCCTCTTCTTCTCAGAGACCTTTCCTTCCCCAGTCGGTTTGATGGATGACGTTGCCTCCATCTTTTTTCGGCCTGATCAGTATTCTCCCTCTCTCCTCCCTCTCAGTATTCCGGCAGCATCTCCCTCCATCCTTCCTCCTCACACTTTAGCATGCAAAAAGAGAATCTGACCTCCCGCTTTCATCCTCAACCTCCCGTGTTACTCTAACATTTATTTCTCCTATTTACATTTGAAGGAATTCAGGTTTTCTTTTTCACCTTTTGGCACAAAAATACCCCTTCTCTCTGCAGTTCAACAGTAATTTCTCCTCTTCCTCACTTTTCAGCATGCAGAGGGAGTTCACTCCTGCCCTACAGTTTATATGCATCGCCCAGCACCTTTTTTTTCCCCAGTATTCGCTGGTTTTCTTCTTTCCTCCACCTCATCGCATCAACAGAAAGGTGAAGCCTGATCAAACACGATGCGCTGAATTATATCCGATTTATCTGTTCTTGATGACTTTGAGTTTAAAGGGCGAGCTGAGATTTTCATTATTTTTTACAAAAAGACTGGAGATCTGATTTGAGATTTCAAACGCATCAAAGATACAGATCAGGTGATTTAAACGGTGCAACTACAAAGAAAAAGATTTTTAATTGAGCTGCAGATACGATCAGTGATTTAATGGCTGAGTTTCCACTGCAGCAGCAGCAGGAAAACACACACACACACACACACACATATAGGTTGGTGAACAGTGGTATTGGTATGGTAGTGGCTTCCCTCCCTGTTCTACAATTAATCATCTTAAAGGCAGTCTTTTATCAGGACCCTTTCCTCCTTTTCCTCAATCCTCCCTCACTCAGGTCCTTTTGGCCCCAAAGATTCAAACGACAGTGAAACATCAGCAAGAAAGAAAAAACAAAAGGTGCTTGGTTGCTCTATGGCATCGCAGAGAGCCAAAAGACAGATGCTTCATGGTGGTAGAACATTTTCACGCAAAAAAATGGCTTTAAGTTTTGACAACCCCGTTGAGTTTTTTTTCACAGCTTGGTAAAACCATTGATGTTTCAGGTTTTCTGTGGTTTGCATATAGGACTAACCTGCAGGTTAATAACCTGGACATAATCTTACGCTAAAGATATGCTTTCTGGGTTATTTCTCATTCTCAATTTAAATCTTCAAACACTATGTGTGTGTACAACTTTTTTTTACCTATTAGTTTTCCTCTTGTGTATAAAAATGGTCTACATTCAATCAAACCTCTCATCAAACATTTTTTTTTATATATTAACATTAATGACATTTTCAGGCAATCAGTTGTAAGTTGGCAGAAATTTGCAAGTGACAACTGATTGCCAATCTGAACTTTTCTGGTTTTTGAACTATATTTAAACACACCAAAAAAGTTGGGGACCTAAAATCTTGTTCCAATTAGAAGCTTGAAACGTGAAAGGCCCTGAAGCAGTTTGCATCTTATTTAAAAGGGGAAAGCAAAAAAAACACATACCAGTCTTCCACTGGCACACATTTACACAACATTAGTTTTGACCGAACAGTTCTGGTGCAAGTTGTTTGCTGGATGTCATATGCTTTAAATCATTGTTGAGTAGAGGTTAGTTTGTGTTTTTAGTTTTCAAAAGGCCAAATACCTATGCAATCAAACTACATCCCAAACTGACCTTTGGGCAATATTTACAAGCCAGTTTCATGATGTGAAAATGTTCTACCACACAGGTGGGACTGGGAGGTTGAAGGGTGCATTGTTGCCATGTTGGAAAGGCCGTCGTTCACACAGAGAATAAGAGCTTTTCACACAGAGCTATTCTGAGTTGCGGTAGTTCCAAACTTCTTCATGAGCATAATTTTTACTTGTAAGGTTTTAGAACTTAGGCGTGTGAAAGCCCTGGATGAGGCAACAAAAGCTCAGACTCCATCTGAAACGCTGCCTAAAACGCTACCCAAACCTTCAGGACAAACCTCCATCCAATGCCGCTCTGGAAATCTGTTCAAACAAACAACCAGTTTGGCAAATAAAAGCACCAAAAAATTTCAGTTTGTTTCCTCATCTTCCACATACAGAGCTTCTAACACAACAGACTCCAGTTGAATCCAGCTTGGTTGGGTCTGGGCCTGATCCGATGGTGAGGGGACGGTCTTGGTTTGGCCTGAACCGTCGCTCTGCCTCCTGGCTCTTGCTCTTCCTCCAGATTCTGATGTAGCATAACGTTCAGTATACAAGTTCAGCTCTTTAAAATCCATACCGTCAAATCCACAAAGTTCTTATTACATGTTAACATTTCAATATTTTTTTCCTTTCTTTTGTATTCTTTTTTTATACTTTGTCATCATTATTATCTTTCTTTTTTTGTTGTTTACAATTATGGCCACAAGTCTTAAGAGTTCTTGAGTCCGGTCCGGCTAAAATTCTATTCCGGGTTGTTTTCAGTCCGGATTTGGTCCAAGTCCGGTCCAGTTCTGATGTGATCCGGTCCGGTCTTTACATGGCACTGGGCTTGTAGCTCTGCACAGTATTTCCCCCTGGGCATGTTTAGCATGGTGCTGTAAAGCATGGCTGTATATGTATGTGCAAGGTCTGTCGATAAAGCGCTGCACCAATAAACGTCAAAGTTTGTATTCAGGTGTTGACTCCAGGACCCCAGCGTCTAGGTTCTTGTGGTCCTGAAAAATGCCTGTTACTCCACTTTTGGAGATTTTTTCTGTTGAAAAATTCTACAGTCAACCTACTTATTTACAGACCTTGCCTGTGTGCCTGTGCTGGAATGTATTCAAAACGTAATGCTATATTCGTTTATATTCACTTCTAGTAAATTATTCACAATTCTGGCGAATTCCACAGTCTTGATTGGTCGGGCAGTACATTACTAAAGAGTCTTCTTGGCCAGTAGGATGGCCAGAGGCCAGCATGACTGACCAATGATGGAGGGTCGAGGGTCGAGGACGAGCAGGAATCAAAGGTGGGGAGAAAGAGCGAAGAAGGAAAGAAAAGGAAGGTAGAGAAGGAGTAGGACGAGGAGAATTAGGAGGTAAACTTCTGATGGACGGTGAAGAAAAGAGGGAGGACGGGATAAGGTTATGGACACAGGTACTGGTCTGTCAGTAGGCATCGGGCTCAGTGTGCTGTGGTATAGAGTGATTGTCCAGAGAATCGAGTGGTTATTTAAACAGCAACTTAGAAACATTTAGATCCTGACGAGGCTTGGCCGAACAAGTCCAAGGTCAAGTTATATCATCTCGCTTCAGAGTCCTTATTACTCTATGTCCAAATCCTCTTAGCGTCCAGTGATTTCAAGTTTAGGCCAAGCCATCAGTTTATTGGACATTTAGTTTATTTGCTTTCTTCTTCTTCATTAAAGCTTAAAACAACCTACTGAATCCAAAAAAGTCCACGGTAGGGTCAGATATTCCAAATCGGTGACTTGACTTTGTCGCTTCCAGCCTCAAGTTCTGACCTGACTTCCTTACAGTGGATTCTTCCAGACAATGCTAAGGGTATGGTTGAGGATAAGTGGTCCAAAGTTACGACATCAGTAAAGAGGCTTTGAACCTCTGTGGTAGGCCTTGACTTAGCCCTGGACTTGTTCAGATTATGATGAGGCTCTTAAAGTTCAATCCAGCCTGTTGTGTTTTTCCTGTGACTGTCTGACCATAGGCGTAGTTTCTTGATCCTTCAGACAGAACAAGCTTTTCAAAGTGTAGTCTGTGGCTTTCATGGAAACTTGATCCGACCTTTCAACCAAGCGCCTGTTAAGTTCCGAAGCAAGCTGAAGTCAGGTCACTTTGTTCTCCCGTCACATCCACTGTTCGGAGAAACGTGACACAGTCTTTAGCCCACAGCTACATCCCCTTTGTTTGATCCCTGCTTGCAGTAAAATCAAATCCAAACCGACAGATGCATCTAGAAGGGTTATTTTTTGCCCCCAAATGACTCAAAGTTCCGTAGTAAATGTATCCGCATCGGTTTGGAAATCAATTTTCCACCCCAAAAATCCACCAAATGGAGGTAGTTGGGGTCCCACCCAGCCAGTCGATCTTCAAGTCAATCAATCCATCAACTGACAAATAAATTACTGATAGATTGATTGCTAATGCAACTGGAGCTGCGGCTGTCAGTTCGGTCCAACATGGAGCAGTTCGGCTGACTGTTTAAACAGTTCAGAAAAACCAAATGCCCTCATTTCCCCCTCCCCCATTCTTCTTCCCACGCCCTCCCCCCCCATCCATCAATCCATCAGTCCATTCATCCTTCCCCTTCTCTCAGCTGCTTCCAGACATCAGATTGATGGCTTGCTCCAGTTTGTGCCTCAGTTTGTGTTTGCGACAGTACCCATCCCGGTCCAGTGCTGTTAGGATCTGCACATGCGGGAAAAACAGAAGAAATGATATCAGCTAAGGGTATTGCTTCATGTCCCTGATATAAACAAACTTGTTCGTGCATCAGTGAAAATGTTATTTTGATAGAGGTGCTACGAGTGGTTCAGAGGATCTGGGAAAGGATCGTCTAGCTCAAGGTCAGGGTTGGATGACTAGCTGATTTATTATTTTACTGCCATGTAAGGTAAGTTGATGAGGCAAGTCTTAAGGGGAACCAAAGAGCTGGAAGGTCGCGGTAGCTGCTTTTACAACATCAGTCATGTAGCGAACTCCAATGTCAAACCTCAAAGTTACTAACTCACTCACCTCTTCCTTGTACTTGTTGATGTAGAAGTAGAGCTCGCTGAGCGCACTCAGTGTGTTGAACTCATTTCCGTGGAGTCGGGACTGCTCCACCAGGTATGCGTCCATGTCCTGATCGCTGATGCTAGGCATCTTGGCTATATCCCTGTAATACCTGAAGGACACAGACAAAGTTAGCTGTGGTGACTAACTTCAGACTTTAACTGCATCAGCAAGTTAATGTGTAGCTTTTGGGTTAATTTACCAGGATAATTACCCAAGTCACCAGCTCTAATGGTGTAATATTTTTACATTTTGCATGAGCAGGCCTTATTAATCATCAGCACTAATTAATGTGATTATGACCCCATACTATTATTCTAATAAGGCAAGAGTCTCAGTCTCTGCAAGCCTTTCTTCTTTCTTTCTTTCTTTCTTTCTTTCTACAGTTCTGCTCTTCAGAATGTAAATTAAGCTGTAGTAACTACTTTAACATATTAATTCTGACAGGTTATATTGATCAGTCATTTTCTTGTCACATGGCATCAGCTAATATCAGCAGGTTAGTTAACTGGTTATTTACACCTAAACCCAGCTCACTCATTTATTGTTCTTAAATATATAAATTAATTAGCATGTTAGATAGTTGCTTTACACAGGACGTATTAGTTAATAAGTTAGCGTGCTATCTACCTTTCCACCCAGCTCTTGTAGTTGGGGATGTCCTTCGCGTAGAGCAGTTTGTTGGATGGAGAGTCTTTGCCGAGCCGATGTTCAGACGTCGAGCAAGAATCCATGAAGGTCTGAGCGACGACTGACAAGCAAGCGTCGGTGATGCTGCTCTTGTGGATGTCGAACACAAACTGAGGATTCTTAATAACATTCACCCAGAACCTGAGAGGAAGGCTGCAAGAACAGAGAAAAGAGATGTTTTAAAAAAACATTTAAACAGCTGTGACTTTACCTTATAATTTATTTTAAAATCCACATTCTTGAGCAACTTTCTCTCACCAGTTGCTCTTCCAGGTGTGTCGGACGTCTGGGTCAGTTATCTGTCGTTTGTCGGCCTGCTCGTCTAAGAAGTCGAACATGTATTTTATGGCCAATGGGAGTGCAGAGCCACGATGGGCGGTGCTGAACACAGTCTCAAACAGGTCATCCACAAACTTCTGCAGCGTCCCCTGTTGGTGCGAGGACCAAAACAAAGGTTTAAATATTTAAAAATTAGATAATAGAAAAAAAAGATCATTAACCAGAAACATTGGACAAATTCAGAAGGTTAAAATTAACATTTTACCTATTTTGCTTAAACTAGATTATAATACAGTCTCTGCGTATAATGAAGATGATTATTAGAGCAATACTTTAAGGCATTACTGTAACTTTAATCTTAAGCCCCACACTGACATCTGTGAAGGCTTGTGCTGTTTTGTTTGAGGTACCTTGGTTGCTAGAAGTCTGGTCAGGTAGATTTCAGAAACCATCTTGCTGCCACGGTCTCCTTCTCTCTGGTCGCTGTGCTCATGATTTTTCACCAGGTGCCACAGTTTAGTTCCTGGAAAGACACGAAGGCTCGATTACCAATCACAGTTTTCCAGAAGCCACAGAAGTCTCAGTTTTACTCCTTTCTTTGGTTTATTATCAATTTATTTGAAGCAATTACCTGCAAATTTGCCAAAAACTGGCATCACTCTGTAGGTACCCTGTGTCAAACTCTATTTCAGGTGTTATTCATTAACTATAGAACTCCAATATTATCATTTTTGGTATCTAGATAATATAATTTCCTTTTTCTTGGCAGAGTTTTTGTCTGAGATCCAAAACGTCCAAGGATATCAAAGATCATGACTGTGCTGTCACAGAAGCTAAATGTAATGCTGTCTCAACACAAGCAATGAATCCTGCTCATCTTTCACAGCATCTTTGATGTACCTGAAACAAACTTAAAGGTCTAACACATGAAGACACCACAGATGTATCCTAATGTAAAGAAAGCTACTATAACTGAGTATATCTGCTGCCATATTACCTGTTTCCTGGTCTGGGGTGATCATCGGAGCTCTGGATCTCAGGCTGTCGGGACTGCTGGATGTTCTCAGTAAAGACTCTGATGGCACAAACAGAGAGAAAGATGGTCCTGATTAGTCATCTGGTTAGAAAAGAAGAGGCTGAACACTGATTTGCTTTAATGGTGACTGAACAACAACATCTGGCCTGGATATAAACTAAACTTTCACTGTTTTCCACACAGCTGCTATAGCTATAAAGGTAAACAGTCATTGTGCATAACTTCCAACAAACCACATCTGTATAACTTGTAACACCCTCAAAAATACATCTGTGTAAAATTTATTTTCACCACCGGAATGTAAACGCTGTAATCTTGCAAGTGTTATGGATTAAATCAATCTCAGATTATTATTATTTCTGACTGCTGTGTTCCCCTTTAATCCGTCTGTAGCGTCTCAGTGAGTTGTGCTAACTTTTACTTTCCACCTCCAAAGTTATTGCGACTCCCAGACGTGTTAAATACATTTATTTCCTCTTCACGTTAACTAGCTGTGGGCAGACACTGAAGGTAGCGAGCTGAGAAGACATGAGAACAAAAAATTCATTTTGACGAGTGAATATCGTGTTAGATTTTCTCTGTCGGTCCAATCCTCTGTGTTTGCTTCCAGTTTTGGAGCCAACTGTTTCCTAAAAAGATGTTTGAAGATGGTGATTGATGGTGTTGCCACACTGTCTGAATCAATCACCGTATACTCACATCAAAGGACTAAAGACTAAAAACGCTGTTCTCCTAACTTTGATAGTTGCTTGTTCCTGCTGTGCTCAAACACAAAAGAGAGAGACTTCCTGTAGAGGTTGGGTTGCCCGTACAGGTTACCAGTAATCCAGATCATGGTACGAGTTTAAAAACCAGAAGAAGGAGGAAGCATAAAGCATTCTTTAAGTTTGTGAAGACGTTTCAAACCCTCATTACTTTGATTTATAAGCAAGTTGAATGGATGCACTGAGCTGCTTTTAGAGCCAGCACTCGATTCGGTCCAATGGGCGATGCCATTGGCAGTCATGATAACCTTGAAACTTGAAGGACTCCAGGCTACCTCAGGTTTGTGAAAAACAGATATGCTGGCATTTCTGCAGCGTGTACAGGCAGTACAGCAAATTTTAAATTGCAGTTAAAAAAATGTTTGGACTGTTGCTAAATGAAACTTTCCTCCATTTCTTGATATATGTGCAATGTGGTAGAGAATGAAAAGTTTGCATGACCTACGAGGAGGTAATAGAAACAGGAAATACAGTCAGGTGAAATAAACCAGAATGATGCATTTGATATATGAAAGTCTGGAAACCATTAACCCTGCTAATAAAACACGATGCAGAAGTGGCCAGCAAGAAAACCTAACTGTGTGTGTGTGTGTGAGCGCGCTCAGTACCGTATCTGCTCAGCGATCTGGTGAAGGTGAAGGAGTTGGCGATGTTGTAGGCAGAAACCTGCTTCTGGACGAGCGCCACCACGGAGCCGTCTGTTACCTAGCAATGCACAGTGAAACATCAGTTAGTCAGCCAATCGCTCCATCAATCAGCTGACTAATTATCCGTCCAGCCAGTCGATTCTTATCCCGTCCACAATCTTGATAAAATCCACACGTGCCGCTGCAGGAGCTGATGAAGAACACGAACTCGCTTGGAGCTCAAACAGAGAGCGAGGGTGCACAGGCCGCTGAGATTTTAATAAATCGGCAAGAGGAAATGTTTTCAATCTGCAGCTGCACAGTCATTTTACGAGTGCCGTTTAAGTATTATGAAGAGGACTGACTGTATACTTACATTAGACCATTCTTTCATTCTATTACATCTTCAACAGTCTTCTTAATCCTCAAAATGAGCTTATACTGTATGTATATTAGATTACATTATATTTTAAGTAAGCTACACTATATCACAATACTTTATGCAATAGAATTTTATGTTGCCTTATACTATATAATATGTTCCATTACATTATGTTAAATATAAGAGTTTTCCTGGATAATGTCACGTAAATGAAAGCTTTGGTGCTGTCTGGGTTCAAAGGTTTGGCTTATGGTTGTCAGTAGTTTCAAACTGTCTAATTTTCAATTCTTTCTTGTATTTGTGAAAGAAAACTGAGAAGATTTATTGACTTATTCAAGTAAAACATCTGTTCTTTTCACCAAATAACACGTTCGGCTGGTTTCTGTAACAAAGTAATGTTTCCCATTAGTGTGCAAAAGTCAGGAATTCCACTAAGCTATTAATGAAAGACTTATAAGGTCTTCAGTTATTAACACAATGGTGCTAAAATCAGTGGAAATATGAACACTACCTTCCTTTTTACTGTATAGTGGAAACATAACCCGACCTGCTGCTGGTAGAAATGTAACTGCACTTTTAAAGCTCTCGACAATTGTGATTGGTCTGTTAAGCACCATTGATTCCAGCTGTGATGTTCAGGATACTTTTTGCTGGAGTGTTTGGGAAAAACGTGTGAATACCACTCTCCTAACATTTTATTTGTCTCCATCGTGCACACAAGTGACTGGCGGCAGCAGCATCAGCCACTTGTGCAGGTTACGGTGTCGGCTGTACATCAGCCAACAGACCGAGGACAGAAACAGACTAAATACATACAAGGAGTGAAGGGAAGAGGTGAATTAAAGCACTGTGGGACAAGAACAAAGAAAGGAATAAAAAAATAGGGAAAATAATAATAAATGGTATTTATGTTAACTAGATAAGATAAACAGTTAAAAGTTTCTTTACTGAAAATGTTTCAAATGTGGAGAAAATATTATATTCTTACTAAAAGGTTTCATGTGGATGAAACTGCTAACAAACAAACTTTCAGTGATGTCTGCAGTAAATACACGTTTGTACCTGGTAGTGCGCCAGCGTGTTGAGTCTCTTCCAGTCGCTCTCTATCTTAGTTGTCACGTCTTCGTCCTGCAGGATGATCCTCGTGAGCCGACCTTGACGCCACTCTGACATCACGAGCACAGACAAAGCATCAGAGAACTGTCCACCCAACCCCGAACTGCAGTCATGTTTTAAATGAACTGGGTGGGCTCCCAACTGATTTATTTTTACTGACATTTTATTATTTACTGAAATTCTGATTAATGGGGACCTATTCTCCTCATTTTGTCATCCATACATGTATTCACCTAATTTAATACAATTATTAGATACACAAGTATATTTTGCAGGTATCGTGTGTCTCAGAAGTTGCATTTACCAAGAACTCACATGCGTAGTGACTGTTTACTCGGTGGTACAGGGTGTTTTATTTCCCCCCCACTAGGGATAAATTAGCATCCCCTGACTGGTTTGTAAGCAGTGCTGAGTTTTCTGCTGTCTCTAGGTAAAATCAGCCACAGTGGTTGTGGTTTCTAGCAATTGCTGCAGGCAACTTGTATAAAATTATCAGTCAACTACTGTGAAAGGTGCAATACAAACTGGAACTGAAGTAAAAGTAGTGCTGTGTAACTGTAACAGTCCCTTTTAAAAGATGGAACTTTTACTTTGAAGGCTAACGCTTCCTCTTTTTGGTTTGCATTGCATAGTTTTGCCTGTTTACTACCAGCAACTCCCACCGCTTGCCAACCAGTTAAGGAAACACATTTTTATCTAGCCACAGTGGTTGCCAGGGAGTTGCCAACTGGTCTTTAGTCCTGTGTAACTGGGGACTAACTAGCAGCTGGCGGGTTGTTGGGGACATTAAACCCCATCACGCTGAAGACAGGACCTGACTGGTGATGGTGACGTTAAACTCACTGACTAATAGTAGCGTCTTACATATAGCAATTGCAATTATGTCTCAAAAACGAGAAAAACAACATTGATTTGTAGATGCTATCCTGTTAAACAAGAAAATATTTTCTGAGCTAATCCAAAGTTTATGTAAAAATCACATCACAGCCACAGAGATGTCATCCATTGGTTAGCAAAGTCCTTTCATAAGTTATAAACCAGTGAACGTACCCGACTGTAGCCACCTTTGTGACTCCGGTAACGACCATTATTACCAAAATAATCTCATGTTCTATTTAACTAGGCTTTGAAACAGCAACGGAGGCCATACACTGAGTGACAACTTTGAAACAGCAATACTTCTTTCTGCATCCAGTGGAGTCGCCCCCTGCAGGCTATTAGAAAGAATGCACTTTGCAGATGAAAAGCTACATCCATGTTTTATACTGTCTATGCCAGGGGTGTCTAACTCAAATACACAGTGGGCCAAAATTCAAAACTGGAACAAAGTTGCGAGCTAACATTAATATTTATTGGAAAAAAAAATCTTCCTCCAGATATAAGAATGAATCTCTTCTTATTGACTCAAACAAGTTTTGCTGAAAAACTGAATATGGAACAAGCAAAGCTTAATACTAAACAATATATATATTAGCTGGATAATACCAGTAGGCCAGCTCTGATAGTAATTTGGTATGGCTTTGCGGGCCAAATTTGGCCCGCGGGCCAGAGTTTGACACCTATGGTCTACGCCTTTTCTTGAAGTAGGATATCTGTCAGTAGTTACCCAAGTCCATGTCATCTGCCTGAGGTCTCTGCGAGTATGGGATTCCTTTGTAAACAGCGTCCAGCAGTTTGTCTTTGACCTGAGTGACTGTGTCGCAGTTCAGCACCTTCACCGGCACCTCAGTCCCAACTTCACCCTCAGGAGGGATGCACATCAGCGTCTGAGACGGCGAGAGAGAAAGCAGAGACTCATCTGTCTGCACCAAACTTTATTAAGCTGCTGCTCGTGTGTTTACCACAGTGTTGTCACAGCGAGGAAAACGTCACTGGCTGTTAAATTGGATGTTTTTAACCACACACACACACACGCACACACACACACACAGTCTTTTCGAGGACCCTCACTGACTTAACATGCTCCCCCCCCCACCACCACCACCACACACACACACAAACACGCCCTTTACATAATTTCTAATAATCCCCAGCTGGAGTGTCAAACACTGAACTTTCATTCGCCGCAGACCCCCGACAGAAAACAACACCGAGTGGTCGTAAACATCCTGCTTCTGTGCTTCAATGATGCTTGTTGCTATGGATACAGTGAACGCAACAAAATCCACTTTGTGGTGAGTTAAAGGACTCATCTGTAACACGTTATAAGGGAGCCTGCAATTTACAGGGTGAGTTTATTGTATGAATCAGGTACCAATAAAACACTGCTGGTTCCTGCTGCACAATTACGGGGAACAAGTCAGTAGCCAGCTGTGTATTTCAAATACAATAAGAAACATATTGCACTCATACACCCACACACTACTCAGCTATATCGTATAGCACACAATTAAAGACTAACGTAGACTGTTCTGGAAAGCACTCCCTCATTTAGTGATATAAATGTTTGTTTTGAGGTTATTAATTACAAAAATCGCATTTGTTTTCTATGAAATTGATTTTTATTAACAGATTAAGTCTAAATTAGTTAAATTAACACAAATTATTGACCTTGGGTAAACGTGGAGGGAACAAACAAACAAGACAGCTGACAGACTGAGAGCTCTGGGTTAAACGTGCTGCTATAGCGTAAACTTATACTGCATATTTCAACACTGCTATTCACTGAAAACCCCCGACGTGGCGTGCTGTCATTTAAAATCTGTCTGTTGGGCGATGATACAGAAGGTGCCTGTCAATAAAACAAAGATTTAATGGAGGTAACATCACATTAGAGCTTCACTTCATTATTCATGGCATCTAAATGAATGAATTCATTTAAAAAATCATAAGATTTTTTAACAAATTTAATTATTTCCATTTGTCATTGCGAATTTTTAATAGACGGCTTTTTTTGGGAAGTTATTTTAGGTCAAGTCAAAAATCAATTACCCAGTTTGTCTCCAGGATAATATGTTATTATGGACGCTGTTATGTTTAGCATTTAGCCGTCAATGGGCCACGAGGACTTGGGTTACTGCAGTGAAGCTGATGTATGATTGAAGCTTACATGTCCTTAGCTGCAAATCTTTACACTGGAAAGTAATGTGAATAAATATGTAGTGTTTTTTGTCTTTTTTAAACGGCCGTGTGCTTTATTTCATCATATTTCTCCAGGAATGACTTGACAAAGCTAAGGCTGGAAATGTGGTTTATAACTAATAAACAAAACTACCAAAACACGGTGAAACCAGCAGTCTATTCTCACCACAGCTGCACTCAGTCACAGCTCAAACTGCTGTATTTAATTTTAGTTGGTGTGGGTGCGCGTGTGCGTTACCAGCTGTTTGTAGTCGATCTGCTGTCGGATGAGTTTGTCTTCACTGAGAGAATAACGAGCTTCTCCGGTGATGGCGTCAATCGGTCCCTTCTCCATCTGCTGCTTTATGGCACAATACAGCATGAAGAGAGGCTCGCCCGCACACTCCTGAAGGACAGGAAGAGGGGAGGGAGTGAAGGGAAGGAGGGGAGATTTTTTTTAAAAGGAGGAAAGAAGAGAAGGAGGATAGCCAGGTTCATTACTACAGTTTAATCCTCAAAACTCATCAGGGGGATTTAAGCCAATCCCCTTCATTCCCTATGAATAAATTAGCTGCAGCTCTGATCTGATTGGTCACGCTCAGAGTTGAGAGGCAGACTTTAATGAGGTCAATTAGGGGGAGCAGGAGGAAAGGTAGGAAGGAAGGAAGGAAAAAGCAGAGCAGATGGTGTACCTTGAGGAATCGATGGAGGAGGAAAGTGAACCAGTTCGTCAGCATCTTCTCAGCAACAGACTCGGTCCTAAACACATATATACAGGTCGGAGGTCATTAGTGAAAACATTAACTCCTGCTCTTTCCTGATTGGTCACATCAAATTGGACAGGAAGAGCTTAATGAGGTCAGTTAGAGAGCAGGAGGCGGGGATTTGGGGGTTGAAGGAGGAAAGACAGGGCGGCTACACCGGCTTCATAAACAAGACTTTTATTCTGAAGTAGCTCTTAGAAATGGGACGCGACACATTCAGTGCAGGCTGTTACTCAGCCAGACGTGGATTCATTCAGCAGATCAGCTTTAATATTTCACGTGTGACCACCCACTCACACTGAAAACAGTCAAAC